ATATTATAGTCTTCAGCTCTTTTTATCACTGTTTGCTTAACACTTTTAAATGAATTAAAAGCAGATGTTGAAATTGCTGCCAACTGTTCACTTGTCATCTGTAAATGGGAATTAACTTGGTTTTGTTCATCATTAAATTAAATGTTAGGCTTCTGTAGTTTAAAGAGTCTTGGAATGCAGGTCCTGATGGGATTTTAAAGTTACAAATAACTGAAGTAATTTTGACAATTATGAAAACATTTGTCCTCATAAGATAAAAAGGGAAATGCTTGGGAAAGTGTAGAATTCTGAAACTCACACAGAATATCTTCAGAAACAAAAATCAATATTTTGTTATTTAACAAGAACTTTGGGGCATCATCTATACTTTCAGCCCTGAATTTGGTGTAGTGGAGGCTGCAAAAGAACTTTAAAAGGGATTCTCAGAGTTAAAGAATCCAAGAGCTGTGTGTTTAGGTACCCAGACAAGAGTGCCTGCTAATGGTCCTACACAAGTTCAAAAGAGGTACAGTGTATGGAGGACTGGGATGATACAAGCAGGAATCTCAGGGACATGTTAGATTGAACAATGAAGAATGTGCAGGATTTGATATTACTTCATGTGGCAGCCAGCCTCTGAGATGGCCCCCAGTGAGGCCTGTCTTTGGGTATTCAAGCTTTCGTGCAGTTTTCAGCCACATTGAATAGAGCTGACCAATAAGATATTGTAGAAATGATGGAGTATGACTTCTGAGGCTAGGTCATAAAAAATATTGTGGCTTCAATCTTGGTGTCTGTTGAACTCTTACTCTGGGAGAAGCCAGCCACCATGTCAAGAGGACATTCAAGCAGCCCATGGAGCTCCTGCCAACAGCCAACACCAACTCACCAGGCATGCAAGTGAGCCACTATGGAACTATATCTGTCAGCCCCAGTGAAGCCTCCAGATGACTGCAACTCTGGCCAATATCTTGACTGTGACCTCAAGAGACTCTAAGCCGGAACATCCAGCTAAGCCGCTTCTAAATTCCTGATGCACAGAAATTGTGAGATAATAAAAGTGTTTATTGTTTTAAGACATTGAGTTTTGGGATAATTTGTTATGCATCAATAGATTAATACATCTTTATTTATTTATTTATTTATTTATTCATTGTAGAGACACAGTCTTGCTATATTGCTGAGGCTAGTCTCAAACTCCTGGCCTCAAGTGATCCTCCCACCTCAGCCTCCCAAAGTGCTGGGATTACAAGTGTAAATCACTGTGCCCGGTTTAGATTAATACATCTTATAAGGTCTTCGTCTCTACCTAAGAATGCATAAAAGTCAAGAAAAGGTTGCATGAACATGGAATAAATGATGAAGGGTTATGATCATTTCTTTCTTTC